TTCTTGTTCATGTCTCTACTTTGCCCCTTTTCAATTGTTTCAATTGACTCAGCTCTCAGAGTATTTCTTCCTGTTTATCTATGATTTTTCATAACCACGCTGACTCTTCATTTTTTCTCAGGTTTCTTTTCAGCTTAACACGAAGTTTCTTTCACGTCACATGTCACACATGTTGATGGATTGCAAATTACTGGTTTACATTGTCTTCACGACACTGTTAACTTGACTGGTGTATTTACTCAGCTCTTTTTTGCCTCTTAGAAGATAGATACGTTTTCTAGGTTCTTCAAGCCGTTTGAACTCCTGGTAGATCTCCTGCTGAAGCGATTTGTTTTTATTATTTTTATTCAGTTGGATGACTTCTGTCACACTTTATCCATTCTGATCTCTGGTATCACATATTGGCCCCTGATGACTTCGCTCATATTGCAAGTTGGTTAATCATCCTGTTATTATCAGGTACTCTTCTCACCTCATCCAACTTCAATTCTGGTAGTGACATGTTCTTTTTAATGAATCGTTTGTGGTCTATCAGAACTTGCTTGACTGCATCACTAAGTTAATCGGGACACACCTTCTCCAATCATTCAGCATTCTTTGTCGATAATCCTTACTTTGCTTTGCAGCGATGAAATAGTACCTGATATTACAACCTAACTTTCGCCGACAGCTGCTTCCACGACCGTAGCCATTCTTCCAAGTCTCCGTGCGCAGAAGAACGTGAAGCAAGTTCAGTTTGCCACCTTTCACAAACAACGTCAGTGCTCCAGCAGCCCGCACGGTTCTTGGTATCTTGGGCATACACAAATCCGGTAGGTGGGTATGTTCATTGTGATACATAGTAACGGGTGGGTACTTTATTGTATTTATTCTGACCTTTCTTCCAGTCTGTCCAACATGTATGACCTTGCCAAACGACTGACTTATATTAATATATCGGGTAAATGGTTTGTACTTGTTTTTTTACTGTGATGTCATCGGTCAACTTTGCGATGATTGATGAAACAACGATTATGCAACTCTAATCTAACAGAGAGTTAACTGTTCTCTTAACAGCCAAATTGTATTGAGTTCAGTGAATAATCGATTTTACATTGCCCTGGTAGCCTGTCGCTTAAACCGCCAATCAAGAATAGAAGAGAAATGAACAGTTTTGAAACTAGTCACTCAATCTATATCTTTTTCCATTCTTATTTGATTCTTAGTGTTCATTCGCTTCAATAAAGTCGCGTTTCGTTTCCCTGTGGCTTTCAAAAAATCATTGGACACTTCTTTTTGATGACACCGAGAAAACCTGTTATGACTTAAGTTTGCTGAAGTGATACAACCGAAAAACGTCACATCATATCCGGCGAACAGGCTTTCGTCATAGTTCAATTACAGTATTCCAAGATGATGCGCAGGTGAAAAAAATATAGGGCCTAACGGCGTATCAAGAAAAATATATTGCAAAACGCAAGCGCTTCACAATCGTCTATCGGCTCATTCGAAACGAAAACCTTGTTCTTCGCCTCAACACAGATTTCAGGCGAGTGACGTCACCCGGCAGCATCACAGTGATCTACTTTACGTCGTAAATAGTCAAATGATCACCAGAGGATGACGCATCGTTTGCCGGTTAATCATCGTTCTACAGCGGACAGAAATCAGGCAAAATTTTTGAGGTTAAGAAGTTGAGCTTGAGTTTGAGTCGTAAATAAGGTTTCGGCAGGCTTAGCGCATATGACGACGTTTGCAGCCTCCCTGAAGTTACGCGAGGTAAAAAAAAGCGTGAGGGTTGACGATCGACGACGCGGCTACAATATAGAGTATGTATGCCTGATCATCGAGCGAGGGGCTAACAGGGAAAATTGTGACGTGGCATATGCATGTGTAAACTTTAAACTTTAAAAAATATCATCCTTAAGCCAAAACTTCTCAACGAAACTCGTTTATTAAATGACGTAACTTTAAAGCGGTTACCACGAATAGCAAAAGAGCACGGCTAGAAGAAAACAGAAACAGGTGAGGCGACGAAGAACGACAAACGAAAATTATGTGACACGTTTCAGACAGCGTTTTGTTTTTTTATCGCTGGCTTTAATCGTTCGTATGATCCATATGATGAGTCATCTTCGAAATGAACCCGTGGTTTACCACCGTTTCCATTTGGATCGTTCGTTTCAACCGAATTGCCCAGCCAAGGGGGCCAGTTTTCACTATAGATTATGGTGGCCAGGGGTAAACCGGGCAAGCAGCCTTCAACGACATGATATTTAAATTTTACAGGTGCAAACTTTACAAAAGAATGCCTGCGACAGCCCCCGTATGTCTCCTGCGGTACCACCAGCATCCGTTACAACAGAAACAGCACAACAGCGACAGTAGCACCGAAATGACCACACTGGCTATCAGGCAGCTGATGAGGACGGCCGAGTT